TATATATATATATATATATATATATATATATATTGATATGGGGCTGCCACTAACTTCCAGCGAGACTTGTACTTGGGCCTGTTTCAATGCACGACTCGTACACCGTTTTCAACTGATTCTTGTCGTTTTCGCTAATTAATTCGACCTTATTTCCTATCAAAACTCAAATAAAACAGCTCATCATAGCTTAATAAAATTAATTAAATACATAATTAATTAAATAATAACTAATTATATATCAAACTACGACGTAACGGACACGAAAATGCACGTAAAATGACGCATGTCACATTCTAAAGGCTATCTAAAGATGACGCGGCCGAATCGGTGAGCCCGGGTTGGGTGGAAATCAGAGCAGTGCCGACCGATAACCGTGTCTATGTAAATGAAGGATGAGATCGAGGTTGCTTGAATGAAAGAGAATGAGGCATGAAGAAGTTTTCTTTTCCAAGCTTGTGTGATTGGGTTGAAAGATCTCCATATCAAAATATCTTCTAACATAATTTAAGCATTTTACCATATTTAAAAAAACGTTTTGACTTGGTAAGACTACAAATTTAAATATGGCAGTTGTAATTGAAAATTGATGCAAAAATTAACAATGTTGTGCAGTAATGTATCAAAAACATTAGCGTAGTATTTTTGTCTAAAGTAAATATATAGAGTGAGGAAGATAATTTTTCCTATGTAATAAGTGACTTAAAAAAACTAAGCGCACTTTGTCCTGTCGAGTTGTCTGTAGAAAGACCTAGTGACCCTTATTTTTTCTCGCGTTTCCTAACAACTCCATCTCTCTTTTCCCTCATATATATATACGCGAACGCAGATATATAAGTATAACCATCAGAGATGTTAAATCAAACGATTCGTTCATGATCTCTGGTCGACTCATTGGATAAACGAGTTTAGCTCGAGCTAATTTAAAGTTCGTTTGGTTAATGAGTCGATCTCGACTTGACTCGAAATTATTTTTATGTAATTTTTTATAGTTCGACTCATTAAAAGCTCGATTCGGACTCTTTAATATTGATAAACGAATACGAGCTCAAACTTGACCTCGATTGTGAGTTCGTTAAGTCAATGAATTAAGCCAAACTCAACTTATTAAGGGCTCGAGCTCAAACAACATGATCTCGAGATGAGCCCGCCCAAGCTCTTTACACCCCTTGTAAATTAACCATTAACCAAACAGTGCGTCTTCCCACATTCATCCTCGTAATAATATAAATGACAAGCTTTTGAAATCCTATTTCTCATTTTTCTGTTTCTCTTCTATTTCCTTGTTTCTTTGTCCGGACGATTGCATAATAACCCTATTATCCTTCCATTTCAGTCAATCATAAAGGTTGGATCTCCCAATCTGTTTTGTTAATCTATCCCCTGTCCTCGGTTAGATTTGTTTTTTCTACAGGGGGTTGTATACGTTTGTGATTGCGGACATCAATTTCATATATGATTTTCGACTCTCCCATTTAGTTAGCTCTATGTTTGTTTTTTTAGCTCTTTTTTTGCCAGTTTTTTCAGCGTCACAGAGGATTGGAATGGAGGGTTTGGGGTTGTGGGTGGGCTTATGAAAGTCTTATTAAAGATTAGGGATGAATTCCTTCAAAAGATTCAATGTCTGTAAAGATCCGTTCTTTGGTTGCTGGGGTCAATTTCTTTCTTTCCTCGTATTTTTTTGTCCTTTTTAGAAACTCATAATATAAGTTCAATCGAGAAAGAACAAATATTAATTAAGTTGAACATAGTCTCTCTTGCACACACACGCATAGTTGATTTCTTGCACGATGGTATTAACTTGGTTTTTTTCACTCCGTGTAGAGTTAGTCTAGGCAGTTGAAACGGAAAAATAGAAACAAACAGGCGATTTGTTGATTTTAATGGCTGAACCCCAAGGGTTGGAAGGTAGCCAACCAGTTGATCTCTCTAAGCATCCTTCTGGGATTGTCCCAACTCTCCAGTAAGAACATTTCCCAACTTTTCAATATATATCTTTTATTGTCGATAATGATTTACCAAACTTTCAATGATTGAGCACCCATCGTTGAATTTGGTTCAGTGCTTTCCAATCTTGATACTGCTCAATGTAATATCGCTTGGGGATTTACTTGAGTCCATTGGTTAATGTAAACTTGTGTTCACACCTTTCATATAATTGTGAAATTTAAATTTGACACTTTGTTAGTGTTGAAGTGGGCCAAACGGTTGAGAAATTAACCATTCCGTAATTGCAAACTGATTTATCATTCCAACCTCTTGCATGTTTGAGCCAGAAATTGTGGTTTGTGTTTGCCGTGGTTTGTGCAGTATGTAGAGAAGTTTAATTTTATGCAGAACTCTGCTTTTGCATACATCCTGACCACTTCCTAAGCTTTTTGTTTCTGAACTTGGTCTTGCATTCAACATGACTTATGACTATAGTTTTCAAGGATACAAACTTGTAATAACTACTTATTGAATTATGGTTTTGATTTTTCAATCTGTCGGAAGTTATTGTTGATTCAAAATTAAACAATTTCACAACATCGTTCTAGGTGGTTGCCTGTGCGGCCTAAAAACTCTATAATCAGCAAGATACGTGGGTTATTAATTGATGATTAGGTGGGCCTAGGCAGCCAGCCTTTAAAAAAACTGCTCCTTGTGGTGAAAATGGTGTAGTTTTAGCTTTAATTTTTAGGGATAAATTCTGCAGTGGTATACTTTGAAGTTGATTCCTTTTTTATTTTTTTTATTTTTTTTTTTTTTTTTTGTGAAAAGGTGCAGGCCCAGGCACTGGCAGCCTTTGGCCACGCTGTCGGCCGGACAGCTCCTATCAATCTATAATCTTAAAATTAAATGAATAGTGCTATATCCTAGAAGATATTTAAACATGTCTTGGATGTTCGGTTTTGTATGTGTGTGTGTATATATTAATAGTTTCTGATTGTTAGTACAATGCAGGAATATTGTTTCAACAGTCAATTTAGACTGCAAATTAGATCTAAAAGCTATAGCACTGCAAGCTCGAAATGCGGAATACAATCCTAAGGTATGCTACTCCCATGGACTGAAAAACTGAGTTCATAGATGTTTTTCTTCTAAACTGCTTAACAGAATAAAGAACTCACAAGTTTATTAATGATCAATTGTTTTCATTTCTGTTGTTTGTAAGCCACGTATAATGATACATACATTTTAATTGAATTTCAGCGTTTTGCTGCTGTCATTATGCGGATTAGAGAACCCAAAACAACAGCTCTTATTTTTGCATCTGGAAAGATGGTACGTGATAATTATTTTCTGCTAATCCTGTGGCTGCCAGCTTGGACATTGTATATCTGTTTATTGTTTGCTGTTACCCTTTCGTTTGATACCAAGTCTTGTTACTTTGTGTTCTTTCCTTTGTTCTGATTTATAGAGATCTAACTGGATCTATTAATAGCCTTTTTTCTTCTTTATTAAATAGTGAACTGTTTTTCCCTTTGCTCATCAGGTTTGTACTGGAGCCAAGAGTGAAGAACAATCGAGATTGGCTGCGAGGAAGGTATTGCATATCAAAGGGCATGCATGCTTTCATTTAAAATTTTTTGGGGCATGAGTTTCATGAGACGCCATCTATGAGTTCTCTTCTTGTAGTTTTGATATGTGTATGTTTTAATCAATAACATCAACTTGGGAACTGTGTATATGGTACAAGAGGTCTTGGTTTCCTCATTTCTTAATTAGTCTTCTTTTATCTTCAGTATGCTAGGATCATTCAAAAGCTTGGTTTCCCAGCCAAGTTTAAGGTACATACGCTTGTCCTCTTGATTATTTCTTTGATGAAACCATATCAACTTGTGTGCTGTGCTGCTCAGTTCCACGACCTTTTTACTTTACAGGATTTCAAGATTCAAAACATAGTGGGTTCCTGTGATGTAAAATTCCCCATTCGACTTGAAGGGCTTGCTTATGCTCATGGTGCTTTTTCAAGTGTGAGTGTTCATCTTCAATTCTTCATCTTGTTTATTCATGATAGAAATTCCGTAATTGTTTACCCCATGTTCTAGCTCTAAAGTGCCTTATTAGTGTGATTATCGATTTTCTATTAGCATCACTTCTGGACTGAACAGAAGAACACACTTCATTAGAATCAGGTGGCCACAAATCTGTTCTAAGTGAAGTGGGGCCATTAGCCATAAAAAATGTAAAAACCAAGGGGGAAGTAATTGTGTGAGTGCCCCTGATACAACAAAAAACGAAAGATCTAAATTGTGGTATGAAGAGAATATGCCACACTCAAGTTCTCTTAGTTACGTTTGAATTGAGAGATTTATTGAGAAATTTGAAATCCATGATTTCAAATTCTAAAGTTTCAATCCCCACACATGTACGAATTATATAAATTGGAGGATTTCAAATCCATACTATATGAATTTGAGTCATTATTTTTAAGTTTATCCTATCTCCGCGACGACCACGCCTTCCCTCAAGTATTCCCCTTAATCTACATTCATCAACACCGCGAGCCATTACCTCCATCGCCAGCCGAAAAATGGGTTTATAGTCCTTTCCACAAATCGATGCAAATAGTGTTAAAGTAGCAACTCTTGAATTTCAGACTACATTTTGGATTGAGGGATTTGAAATCCAATTATTTGATATCCCTCAATCCAAATTTAGATTAAGAGAATTGGAGGGTTGGATCAGTTTTGGTGGCTGAGCATATCTAATGTTTTTGTTAATTGGCAATCCTCAAAATCTGCACTTTGCTATCTTTCTTATATCCTTTTATTAGTTTGGTTAAATTTTGAAGTTATTTGGCTGGCTTACCTCCACCAGCGATGATTGTTTTGACAGCTTTTTCTTGACAATGTCCTCTCTGCACATACATCCTCCTTATTTTGGAATTTACAAAATCCTCTCTTTCATATCTACTCTTTCCTAGATGTTAGTAGATGAAATATTCTCCATGTGCCATTCACATGGGCAATGTTAGTGTAGTCTATCAGACATTCAGGAGCAAGATGTAATCTGAGATTTTTT